GACCCTCGAGAGTCGAGTGCACACATACATATATACACACGGTCACATTTATGACTATCTCTACACTCAAGAAGATCTCGTTTCAGTTTGTGCAATTGGTATATTTTTTGATATTTCTGTATACGAAGTTGAGTAGTAGTGTGTTTTGAGTTTGGTGAAAGAGGAGTATTTACTTTYTGAAACCACCATCGAATTCCCAAATACTAAAAGCTTTGGATGTATTAAATTAATTGTTGTGGGGAAAAGATCTTATAAATGAAGGTGAGGGTCCATTTTGACCCTCTTTCAATGCCTGGGGACTAACTTTCTGCTTTTGGTAAAATTAATGACTTTTCTCAGATCACAACTGTCTTCACTTTCCTTCTTTAATTTATTTTTTGTTTAATATATTCTTTTTTTTTTCTAAACAATATATTCCTTTCTTCTGTAGATTTATTATTTATATAGGCGATTTATGTCGAAATATTAGTATTGTTTTCATGTTTTAAATAGGATTTTTGAAAATAAGGTTCATGATTGTCGTCCTTTTGTAGTGGGGCACCTTATGTTGCAAAATTCGCAATCCCTTCACTAATAAGATATGTCTTTTTTTCTCTTCTTTTGGGTAAAAGTCTTAAAAAAGTTTTTCATAAAGTTTTAGAATTTTTATGTTGTAGCGTTTGTGTTGATTTTTGTTCATTTGACTTGGCAGTAATAATAAAAATTTGCGTTTTAGCATTAGTTTGGATCATAAATTCATAATCCATATTCTTATGATCTGTTTCATATATATAAATTTAGAAATATCGATCGAACCAAAACTAATTTTTACATAAGTTTACATGTTACAATTAATATTTGGATAAAAAAGTTGTTCCAATACTTCACCATCAATATTGTTAAAAGTTGCCACCCTCACCATTTTGAATTTGAACCCTTTTGAAAAAAAGTCTCTTACTTTGTGTGCTAAACACTTTACAAAAAGCCAATACCCAAAGTCCAAATCCAAATAGGCCGAAGTTTGGAGACATTGATCGCATCATTAAATTATGATTAGACAACATATACTTCCAATTATATAACTTACCTATAGAAATATTGCAGATTTCACAACAATAACTTGCGATTAGTCAAGTAATGATCTTTGTAAACCTAGCGACATAAATACGAGGGTCAAGTACAGAGCCGGATTTGAGCACATTACTTTAAAACATTTGAATGGGGCTCCAACTTGTAGGGACTCCCAACTTGTAGGGCTCCACTTATTTAAAAAGAAAATTTGTCTAAAAATTTATTTAAAATATGCTTATTTGATGAGAAAAAAAAAATTTAGTATTTTGTGAAATAATGTGATAAAATGTAAAATATTAAGTAAGTTTTTCGTAGTTTTATTTCAGAGAAACAAATATAAATGTATAGTTGATTAAAAAATCAGTTTTAAAAAAAAAATATTAAAATTATGTTAGAATTTTTTTTTTGTATAGGGCCCCGAGAATTCCAGATCCGGCTCTGGTTAAGTGATAATTTATCGTTTAAGAAATGACTAGATTTGATCCACGCCAAGCGTGAGATTAAATCATTAAATATTTCTTTTAATCGATTTTAATATTTAAATTTGTGTGACAAAACCTATAATTTCTAATATTTATAAATTTACAAAAATGATATGCATTATAAATATAATAAAGTTAAATTTTGATCAAGCATATTTGATGTCATTAGTTTTAATATTTTTATGTACAAAATTGATCAAACCATATGAAAATGTTATTTATTTCAAAATATTTTTAACTGTAAAATTATATTTTATTATTCGTGTAAATTATAAAGCATGCAGTAAATAAGATTTTTTTTTTGGGTCACATGCAGTAAATCAGATAAATTTTAGATTTATATGATTTTGTCGGACATAGCAAACGAAAAATAATATATATTTTCCAATAATTAAATGTATAAATATCTGTAAGTGTAGTTATATATATATTTATTTATTTTTTCTTTTTTTTATATATCATATCAATCTA